TTTATTATAAGGAATCAGCTTATGCAGTTATGGAGTCTGGAAATTCCAAAATCTGCAGTGTGGACTGGCAGGCCCAAGACCCAGGAGAACTGATGGGCAGATGACGTTCAAAGGCAGTTTGCTGGAGCATTTTCTCTTGCTCAGGGAGGCCAGTCTTTTTGTTTTATTCAGACCTTCAACTGATTAGATGAGGTCCTTCCATAAGGTGGAGGGCAGTCTACCCAAAGTTAATTGATTTAATTGTTAATCTAATCCAAAAACACTCTCCAAATTGACATAAAATTAAACATCATAAATAACAATATAAACACTGAGCTTCAAATAAGCCCCCCTTCTCTCTGTCCTCCTTTATATAGCTATTGCCAAAATATATCTCTGTACACTGTAAGCCTATCAACACAGTAATAATATACAGTTATTATTGCCATAATTGTGTTCTGTAAAATTGCCACAAATATTGAGTTAGTGAATACTGAATTACTGCTCCGAGGAGAAATAGGCTTCTTTGACAGCCAGTTTGTCATTTGATCAGTACATAACCTTGTTTTATTTGTGTTTCTGTTTAAAGTTGCCTTACTTGGGGCGCCTGGGTGGCTCAGTCGTTAAGTGTCTGCCTTCGGCTCAGGTCATGATCCCAGGGTCCTGGGATCAAGCCCCGCATCGGGCTCCCTGCTCCGCGGGAAGCCTCCTTATCCCTCTCCCACTCTCCCTGCTTGTGTTCCCTCTCTCGCTGTGTCTCTCTCTGTCAAATAAATAAAATCTTAAAACAAAACAAAACAAAACAAACAAATAAATAAAGTTGCTTTACTTAATATATACTGTTTATTCATTAACATTGAACTCATGGCCATCAACACTATAACTCGTGCCTAAATGAAGCTTCTATAACACGTGTATTTTGTCCATAAGGCTCGTCACAGCCTTGCACTTACAAACACTAGACAGCACTTAAGTACTGCTTTGGGGGGTCTTTTAAACAGCAAAATCACTAGCGAAAAGCACAGAAGTGCAAAAACATGGCACTAAATAGGCTGCAAAAGGAGGATACTTGTTTAGAGTATGGGAACTGTAACAAGAAGGCAGAGCATCATCTTGTTTGACCCCAGCTGGGAACATCCATCTTGGGCTGTGTGTTTTCCTGTGTCTGCAAATGACTGCAGAAGCACAAGTATTAATTTTTGAGTTATAAATAAATTCTAGGCAAATTTGCAAATGCAGAAACCATCAGTAATGAGAACCAACTGTAATTATTGCTGTATGAAGTCTTTTGAATCAGATAAGAGAAGGTCAGAGTTAAAAAATATATTTGTACTGTCTTTTATATTTATCAATGTAATTATTTTAACTAGTGTTCTTTGTTTCTTTGTGTAGATACAGCTTAGTGTCCTTTCACTTTAGCCTTTAGTATTTCTTGTAGTGTGGTCTACTAGCTATAAATTCTCTCAGTGTTTTTTATATGGGAATACCTTAATTTCTCCTTCATTTTTGAAGGATAGTTTTGTTGTATATAAAATTCTTGCTTGACAGATTTTTTTTCTTTTAGCATTTTCAGTATTTCCTTTCCTGCTTTCCATCCCTCATGGTTTCTAAAGCAAAGTCAGCTGTTAATCTTATGGAGGCTTCCTTGTGTTTAATGAAAGCAGTATTTTCTTTCATTGCTTTAAAGAATCTGTCTTTGTCTTTGTCTTTTGACAGTTTGACCTATGGTAGGTCTAGGTTTTAATCCCTGCATCTACTTCATTTTTGTTGAGCCTCGTAGATGTGTAGATTACTGGTTTTCATCAAATTGATAAGTTAATGTCTATTATTTTTTCAGGTATTCTTTATGCCCCTTTCTCTTTCTCCTCTTTTTCTCAGACTGCCATTATGAGTATGTTGGCAGTCTTTATAGTGTCTGATGGGTCTCTGAGGCACTGTTCATTTCTTTGCCTTGCTTTTTCTTTCTGTTCATCGGACTGGACAATATCAATTGACCTGTCCTCATTGATTCTTATTTCTGTCAGCTGAAATTGCTATTTACATTTAGCCCCTGTAGTGAATTTTTTGTTACTGTATTTTTCAACTCAGATTTCTATTTGCGATTTGCTTCTTTATTAATAATCCCTGACTTTTTATTGGTATTTTCTCTTTGTTAAGACCTCATTCACATAGTTTCCTGTAATTCTTTAGGCATGATTTCCTTTAGCTTTTGCTTTTTAGTTTCAGTAAAATACACATAAAACTTGCCATCTTCACCATTTTTTAGTGTACAGTTCAGTAGCATTAGGTATATTCACATTACTATGTTTGGGGAAAGGGCTTTTGGGAATTCTAAACCTATTCTGCCCCCTCCCACTGTTTTTGCTAGGCTACTGGTTTTCACAGCTATCTGATTTCATGATCCTAAGAATAAAGTGTCACATCATGGCTATTTCCATTTCCAGTCGGACTGTGTAGGTAGGAATTATAATCCTAGGATGGATGTAGAAAAACCTTTGAATGAGAAGAGAGAAAAAACAGCTCTAGCTGTTCTTGAAAACAGCTCCTGTTTGTGGATGAGTTGGTCCATGGAAGCCTTGGCTCTCTAAAGTTCAGGGAAAAAGCAGAGGTTTGATGGCTATAAAGTTCTCACTGTGGGGCATGTGGATGGCTCAGTCAGTTAAGCGTCTACCTTCTGCACAGGTCATGATCTTGGGATCCTGGGACTCCTGGCTCAGCAGAGAGTCTGCTTGTCCCTCTCCCTCTGCTGCTTCCCCCCCCCGCCCCCTGCCACATGTGCACACTCTCTCTCTCTAAAATAAATAAATAAAATCTTTTAAAAAAAAAGATTACTCTTTAAGAAAAGATTTTTTTTTTAATTTTTTTTTTATTCTTATGTTAATCCCCATACATTACATCATTAGTTTTAGATGTAGTGTTCCATGATTCATTGTTTGTGCATAACAACCCAGTGCTCCATGCAGAATGTGCCCTCCTCAATACCCACCACCAGGCCAACCCATCCTCCCACCCCCCTCCCCTCTAGAACCCTCAGTTTGTTTTTCAGAGTCCATCGTCTCTCGTGGTTCGTCTACCCCTCCAATTTCCCCCGCTTCATTCTTCCCCTCCTGCTACCTTCTTCTTCTTTTTTTTTTTTAAGAAAAGATTCTTACTGTGATTTTTATCTCTCCAAGGACTCACCAGTTTACCTTAAGGTGTCATCTGAATAGTGATTACTAGAAATTCTTTTTATCTAGCTATTGATCAGTGTTTCTGCACTTAATCCTAGCCAAAAGGCCAAGAAGTGATTGATCAGTGTTTCTGATTTTTTTTTATTATGTTATGTTAATCACCATACATTACATCATTAGATTTTGATGTAGTGTTCCATGATTCATTGTTTGCATATAACACCCAGTGCTCCATTTCAGTACGTGCCCTCTTTAATACCCATCACCAGGCTAACCCATCCCCCACCCCTCTCCCCTCTACATATTCTTCTGTGTTTTCCTAAGGAAAAGGCAGAGGCAAGCAAATTGGACATCACTGGTTTTCTCTTCTTATAACTCAGATGTCCTGTAATGCATTTTTTAAAAGACCTTATTCATAGTTCAGAATCATTCATTTATTAATTTCCCTACTTTCCTTAAACCCCATTGTCTTAATTTTAAGAGAAAAAATTACTTCACTTGGACAGGTCTCACAGCCATTTCTAAAACTTATCCAACATGTGTTAGATTTAATTAGAGCCATTAAAGAATAGGTTTTTATTTAACTGGATAATGGATTTAACTAAGATTGTCCTATTTTCCATACATTGATTAACAGTTTTCAGATAATTGGTAGACAGTAAGATTACTCTTAACCAGTTCTGTACTGGACATAATTAGTATGGTCTTTGATATCTCAAAAGTACCTTATTTTTATAAGGTTAAACATTACTAAGTCTTGTGAAAATATAAATAGTAGAACTTTCTGGGAATTGTATTCTACATAAACACTGAGTTTCCAATAATAATGAATGTTTACCAAAGTCAAGATTCTCTGTAAAGGGCTTTGAATTAAGACTAACTTGTAGATATGTTTAACAATAAGTAAAGCTTAGAAAGGGAATCAGAAGCGAGGAAAAGCTGGTGCTGTGGTAAAATTATCATTGGTAAATATTTTAGTCCATTTACTTCCTTTCTGAATATGTATATCAACCCTGTTTATATTTATACTAATCTAATGTAAATGAAAGTGATAATATGTTAAAGGTTTAGAACATGTAGAAGGCACCAAGTCCTATGTAGACCTCTCCACCATGAGTGCCTGTGAGTTGGAGCATTTGAGCAATAACCTAAAGAAGATACATTCTCTCTTATCCAGTTGTTCAGTTTTAAGAATCTAATTGATAAATTATATAATTTCCCAAATAAAATATTTTAAGAGATACTGATATTTTGCTCATCAAAAACAAAAATTTTGTTCTAACGCATTTTTTAAAAGTGAATTTTTCCTTGTGCTGTATCAGAATATAGTAGCATAGTAATTTTTACTAGTTTACTTTTATTTGGAATTCTCCTTTCAGTTAAAGACTTTATAACCAGACTTACTGATAATGTTTGAGAAGTATACTGATTATCTTACACTTTAACCTAAGAATTTCAAAATAGTCTACACGTTTACTTTATGTTCCCAAAGCAGTTAAGAGAGGATGTGTTAGCAAGAGGGAAACTGGTTCTGTAGGATTGGTAACTTGCTTATGACCACACAGTCAATCATTAGTAGATAGATTTAAGAACAGAGCTTGAAGGGATAATTTTTGCTTCTCTCTACTTTTATATATTTTCAAAAATTTTGACATTGAGCACTTTTAAGTATTTAGAATGTGGGTAACGTAAAGAATGGTGCTCAGGTTTTGGTGTTATCCCCATGTTCCTCAAGCTAACTATATTGACCAGAAATACCAACGTTGCTAGTACATCATGTGCGTTTCATGTGTGTTTTAGCTTTCTATTGTAATTACTGAATTTGTTTAAATGTTTATTGTTCCCTCACAGGTGTTGGATCCTGAACAAAACCATAACTTCACAGATCATTATCTAAATGTGGCCTTTGACCTTTCCCAAGTTCTTTTTATAGCTACTGCCAATACCACTGCAACTATTCCACCTGCCTTGTTGGACAGAATGGAGATCATTCAGGTCCCAGGTACCTGATTCATAAATAAAATCATTATTTGATAATTTTTCCTTTCTGAGCAAAGCCCTTTAAGTTGTGCTGTGGAGATTTGAGTAAAAAATTGATTTGCCAGTGTATGACCTTCAAAGTTCTAAGTATGGTATAAACCAGCTTTTATGTAAATTCAAAGTCTGGAACAACAAAACTTTGTTTTAACCATGACATATAAGATTATGTGTATGTTCTGTAAGACATCAAGAATAAAATTTGCATAACAATTTCAGACTTAACTTTGCATTAAAAAATTCTTGGCATTAAAAAAATGTTTCCCAATGTCTTAGAAAATAAGACATTCTTCTTGAGACAATTTCTAAACTTATACAAAAAAATCATTTTTTTTTCAAAATGAGTGTCTAAAAACCAAAAATAGATCTTTACATGGTCAATTTAGCTTCTTGTCTATAAGATTTTGAAGTTTTTACTATGTCTGAGAAAGTGTTATCATTTATTCTCATTAAGTGAATGAGAGTCCTAAAGAGTTGCTGAACTTTATTACATCTGGCCTCACTTTTACATAAAAGTGCAGGGCAGGGTGCTTTTAAATTCCTCTTCTTTTTAGTTTCTGTCAAGTAGTTCCCAATTTTTTTCTTTTTACCATGTCTTCTCCTTCACTGTAGTGTGTAAGATAAAGTCCTTTAGTTACTAACACTAAAAAACCCCAGTGTTTCCACTTTCTTTTAATTGCTTAGAATTATTTTTCCCTAGAGGGGTGAAACATAAGTGGGTATTTGTTAAAATGAAAATAGACAAGAATCAAAATATATTTTGATTCTAAATATAATCTAATATGTATTTCATACTAATTTGAAATAAATTTTTACTATCAAGTGAATGATAATTGCATTTCTTAGTTTTCTGTGAGCCCTGCAGGTTCCGATACTTAGTTTTAAAATATGATGGAGTAAAAAATTGCTTTGTGCGTATTTATAAGACTAAAATAGGGGTGCCTGGCTGGCTCAGTCGGTTAAGCATTTGCCTTCGGCTCAGGTCATGATCCCAGGGTCCTAGGATTGAGCCCCATGTCAGTCTCTCTGCCCGGTGGGGAGCCTGCTTCTCCCTTTCCCTTTGCCACTCCCCTTGCTTGTGCTCTCTCTCTGTCAAATAAATAAATAAAATCTTTAAAAAAAAGACTAAAATAAATAAGTAATGAGACCCAATTGCCTGGGAACTCCCAGTTAAGCCAGGAATCCATAAGATACACTGACGTGAAGTAAAATAATCTCTACAGCTGCTGTACCGGTAGACATATGCCATTCTCTTCCTGCAGGTTTGATTATCCCATCTTCTGTTTGGGCATTTCTTATTTCCTTTTTCTACTCAAAAGCTGCCTTATCCGTTCATCTTTCTTTTTTTTTTTTCTTGTTAAATGAGAAGGGGGCAATTAATTTAGGGAGAATTTTTTTCTTACAGGATTTGAAGACAAAGTAAATCTATATTACTGAGGCTTTCAAATAAATAAGAACATAGTCTTTTAACTATATAAATTAAATCTATAATTCCAATATGTATAGGGAAAAAACTTCTGTAGGGGTGTCTTAGTTTCTGTTTTGTTGCTTAAATTTATAGCCAGGGTTCTGAAAATAGCTCCTTTGCAGCTCTTGCCTTAGAACCCACCAGTGACTTACTTGAATCCTTTGTTGTTGTTGTAAGTTGTTTTACTTATGTAAGAAATTATGCTAAAGACAAGAGCTGCATTATTTGCCTGTTAAATAGTAAAAATTCACATTTGAGTTAAGGAGATAATTATCTTAGAGATTTGACTGAGAGTTTTCCTCTTCCTTGAGAGATACATTATTTAATCAAGAGACTTTCAAACTTGTGCTTAGTAAGTGCTTTTTTTATTTGTGGACAAAGTTGGAAATTTTAACAATTACTAATTGGAGATTAAATTTCTTCTGGTTATAATCTTAGTTGAAGTAACACTTAAATTCATTCTAAATCCAAGATCCATTAAATCTGCATTTGATTTGTTTAAAAAAGCATGGCACTGTGGAAGCTGTGTGAATAATTGCAAAATAAGATCACTTTTTTCCTAGGGTATACACAAGAGGAGAAGATCGAGATTGCCCACAGGCACTTGATCCCAAAGCAACTGGAACAGCATGGACTGACTCCTCAGCAGATTCAGATCCCACAGGTTACTACTCTTGACATCATCACCAGGTTAGTCAGCCATCCTGAGGCCTCGGTAATGTTTGAGTCTGAAAAGGAAACAATTTTACTGGCAACTCACAGCATCCATTTCTTTCTCTCCACCAGATTCCTAGCAAGCATTCCCATAACTTGATTTACACAGGGCTCCATATTAGGCAGAAATTCATAGGGAAAGTACTTAGAGTATCTTCATAGCTGAGGACTTTAGTTGAGCCAGAATTTCAGCTTTTTCACAAGAGTGGTGTTAAGGGATTCACTTGATAAATTAAGAATCAAAAACAAGGAAAATATTGAGACACCTTATATGCCCCAGGATCTTAAAAGTTAAATTCTCTTAAGAATTGCATTGTTACTTTGAAACACCTGTTTTAAGTTATTCAGATTTTCTTTTCTTCTCCTTGAGAGATTTTAAAAATCCTTATAATTTTCATTTTTGGAATTAACACCAGAACGATAGAGAGGGTGCTTTCCCAAGTTAGCTACCAAGTGCTTAAGCCTGTGGCAAGCAGTACGTAAATTATCTGAGTAGAGTATTGCTTTGTCTGATTTATAGATTGCATGTTTGAATGGAAAATATACCCTGTTGAGAATTTATATCTGCAACAGCCCCTTACTTTTCCTGGCTCAGCGTTACAGATCCATTGCATCATCTGGCAAATTGTGTCAGGCTGCCAAACACTCCTTGCGCAGTCCTCCTCACAGTAACTGCTGTTTTTCTGGAGAAGCAAAGTATCTCTCCATTTTGAACTTTGACTTAGAGTTTGGCCAGTTAGACTGCTTTTTGATCTAAGCCAGCCTTCTTATAGAAGTCTATTTGGAAGTCTATTTAAATTTATTCACAAAACAGTAAGACTAGATCTGACCTGGGAGTTCCTTTGCTTAACTTGTGATTCATTGTGTGGATAATGCCAGGAGAAATAAATTAGGTGATTTATATGCCGAAGTCTTCCAACAATAATATTATTCCAGATAACACCCCTGATACCTTTGGGTAACTTTCAACAAGTCACTTAACCTTTTTGATAGCTTCCCCCTCTGTAAAATATGAGTGAGAGAACAAAAATATCTGGATCGAAATAATAATGACTTCAAAAAGTAATCATTATTTGTATTTCCCAGTTGTTGCTTGGAGAACTCTTTCTTTTTTATATATGTATTAGCTCAAAACATCAAATATTAAAAGCTATGGACATTAAATGTCTGAACAGTTTTAATATTTTTTAAAACAGCACAGGTATTTGCTACTCCAAGCAGTTTTGGCTGTTTGATTAGTTACCGAGATTAGGGTACAGTTTTTCATCTTTTGATGTGTTTTTCATCTTTTTGTGTGCCATAGTCGTGGACCCATAATGTTCAGGAGGAGGAGTGGGGGTCTTAGATCTCATTTAGTCCCACCTCCCTCCCTGTGTACCTAGCCTACTTGAGTTCCTCCAGTGCTAGATGGCTCCCTGCTGTCTACTCCTCTGTAAGTAAATAAATTGTTACAAAATAATCTTTATGTTCACCTCCCTATAATTTTCTAGTTGTGCACCTGGAATCTAAGGGTAAATTCCTCCCTTGTACAGCCCTTCTGGCATTAAAAAAAAAAAAAAAAGTCAGGTCCACTTCCCATAAATGTTCTCTTTCTCAAGCTAAATATTCCTTTTCTCTTTATCATTCCTCTTGACCCACTCTCAAGGCTTCACCTTTCTGATTAGTCGTCTTCTGAATGCTGCCTGTGAAATCAGTGTCCCCTTTAAAATGAAACACAGAGTGGAACTCAGTATTTCACATGTAGCCTGAGTAGTTCATGGTATAAGACCACCGGCTTTCCTATTTTGATTATATTATTTTATGACTGTGTCTCAAGACTCTTAGCTCTTTTAGGTTATTCTCTTGCCTGTTGCACTTACAGTTACTGAACATCTTTAGTTGTTTTTCATATGAATTTCTGCTAAATTTGGTCTGTCTCATTCTGTACTTTTAGGGTAGGGTTGAATTTTATAAAACCCAAATGTAGAAGTTTGCAATTACGTATATTTTTTTGTTGGTCTCAGCTACTGTTGCAGCAAATGAATTTTTTTCCATCTTGATTATCATTAGTTTTAGGTCTTCTAGAAATTGACATATATAGCATCTTCATGCTCATGTCACAGATAGGAAACATCAGCCACTTCTTATGAATACTGGTGATTCTTCCCTTTTTGGTTTAAAAATACTAAATAGGGGTGGTTGTGTCTCGTTTCTTTCAGTCAGCTGTTAATGTTATACTGCCTGCATTAGCTCCTGACCCATTATTCTGACAACCTTAAAAGAAACAAAAGAAAAAAGAACAGTATTTCATTTGTGTTGTTATGGATGTCATTATTTCTGAAAGTTTATTCTGAACTTCCTGGTATTATTTCTTCATGTTCATGTCATTCTCCTGTAAGCTTCCTCAATCCCTGTTCTTTCATCTTTTGTCCAGACCTTTAATCTGAGCTCATCAGTTGAGTTGTCTAGAAAGTTACATTGGGTTTTTGTTTTTGTTTTTAGATGTTGGTTTGTTTATTTTTAACATGCCCCCCTGTTTTCTTCCTTACTGAAATTATATGCAGTTGTGTAATAACGGACTTTATGCTTACCTCCTCCTATCCCTTTGATTGAAATGAGTTTTACTTTAGAGTGTTTTTGCCAAGAGTTTTTATTTGTCCTTTCTCAGAAGTTTTGAGATCTGATTCCCTAAAGTCTAGAATATGTGTCTGAGTGCCTAATCAAATCCAGTTTTTCAGATAAATCTATATTCTCTATCTGATGCTACCTATTCAAATCCATTCAAAGCTGGGTGGCCAAAAATGGCTGTGTTATATAATGGTTTATGAAGTGGCATATAGAATTTGAGTCTAACATAAGTTTTTTTAAGACAGCTCTGCTTAACCACATTTAGAATCTTCTTCACAAATTCACTATGCTTATATCAGCATATTTTCCTTCTTTAGAAGTCTCTAAGAAAATACACTGAATAGAGGTGACTAGCACAGTTCCTAGTAAAAACTAGATTTCTTTCTAAGATTAACTTTTGCTTTAGTTGGGACAATTTTATTTTTCTGATTCTTTCAGCAATATTTCAAGTATAATAAATTCATGTAGAAATTTCTTAAATTGACTAATTTTGCTTAAGAAAGCTCTTACACATACCATCAAGGAGTAAATGATATCTTATGTGCTGCCAAATTTACTTTGGCAGTATAAATTGAAGAACCAAGGATTTGTTTTTAAGTATAGGATAATAGTTAAAGATAAAAATCCCTATGAAGGGGAAAGTTATAGCTGAAAATACATCTGAATATATAAGAAATAACAGTACTTTAATGAGGAATTTTTAAATGTGAGGAAGTTAGTACTTAAGCAAATGTAATGAACTTTTAAATGTATACTGTTTCTTTAGTATAAATGTTAATCATATTATTTCTGTTTTTACAGGTGGTGTTTAGCCAAAAATAAAATATTTTCCTTTGATGACAGGTATACCAGGGAGGCAGGGGTTCGATCTCTGGACAGGAAGTTTGGGGCCATTTGCCGAGCTGTTGCTGTGAAGGTGGCAGAAGGACAACATAAAGAAGCCAAGTTGGACCGTTCTGATGTGGCTGAGGGAGAAGGTCTGTGATGTTGATCTGGGGCTCTTGGGCTTGGTGGTAAGAGTCAATAGCAAACAAAGTTGAATATGGAGGGATGGTGTTGGGTGGCCCTTGGAGCAGTGGTACCTACTACTCCACCAGTAGATACATCCAATGAGTAAGTAATAACTCAACACTGATGTATTTTATCAAGGGGATTCTCTTTTACAAATAGTACAGAGTTTCAGCTGGAATAATACTCAATATCAGTGCTTTAAGGATATCATAAATTTCTCCAGATTTATGATGGTGTGCTTTATGTATGGGTTCTGGTGTTCTCTTTTTTTCTTTCTGATCCAGACTGTTGTAAAGTCTTTCAGTATTTATAGCATAGAAAGTTATTACACCAGTTAAAAATCCAAGCTGTCCAAATACTGCAAGGGTAGATCTTTATACTCTGGAAGAGCTTTATATGTCATAATTTGTTTTCCTCACACGTTTTCTTCGATAGGTATACAATTAAAATGTAATTTAAATTTTTTTTTCTTAAAAAAATAATGTGGAGGTGGTGATAGGGAAAGAAAGGGAAGGTTTCTATTCCTAAAATTAATCAAATGTGAACATTTCCATTGGTACCCAGTTAGAATGTTTTAACTTCTTGCTGCAGATGCATACGGGGTCTCCGTTCATCATATCATGCTGCTACACAACTTGCCAAAACTTGCTTTAACAAACATGACTTGAGTAGTAGGGAATTGAAATTTTCTATAGTGAAGAGGTTTATTAGATGTTCTGCCATTTCCATAGCTCTTTCTAGAACAGTTTGATGAGTGCTGTTGAAGAACTGTAATTTGTGATACACTTAGTGGAATAGATGTAAACATCTTCCCTGTTTTTCCTTCTGTTGCTAAGCACAGTGCCTTTTACACTTTATCATCAAAAGAATGGACTTTCATATAATCCTCCTATTGCCAGTATGATGCTTCACCCCTGCTCGCACTGTGCCAAGAACCTCCCTGGTTCATTTTCTCCAGGGAGAAATAAACTTCCCATCTTCTGTTGAACTGGAGAGGAGGGGTGGTGTCCTTGCTATATGGAGTGGGCGTAGGGATCTTAAGCTCTAATTGTTTCTCCCACAGACTTTAACATTTTTCTGTTAGTACCATTCTTCATTGATATTTTCAGGGGTACCTCAAATTCCTGAGCCTTTATAGCATTTTATGGATAACATTAAGGTTTCTCCTTTCTCTAGCCTAAATGTTTGTTCCTTCCTGTCGACCCACTTTCTGTTTTCCAAAATATTGTCAGCATCTCTGATTAGCTGTTGTCTTCTTTCTTACTCTTTTTGTTGTTAAGGGTTTGTACTTTTTTAATTTCTTAATTGTCATTTTAGTAGGATTTGGAGAGGAAGTTTAAAGATAAACACATGTTCAGGCCATCATTTTCAAAAATCTGAATTTTTAAAAAGTGCCTTAGGTGAATGATAGCCTATCAAGAATGGAATTACTGGCGTAGCTGACAGTGACAGTGGAGAACTGAGGTATTTTTCCCCTTCTTCTCTTTCTAAATATAAGGCCTAGATCCTCCTGAATTTCCCCCTTTTTATTCTAGAACACTCCCTTTGTGCTGTGGGCTGAAGCACCTGAGCCTATGTCTTTTTGTTCTAGGCAGACAGTGAAATGAGTTTATCTAGTTATTTTGGAAATTGTGTTTAGGATTGAGATGGTATGTTTGGAGATTTATACAAATATATTCAGAGGGATTTGTTGCCAAAGGAAACTTCCCATAGTTATGCAGTACTTAATGTGTATACATATATCCATTAGCATATTTCCAATAATGTCTGTGATCATATTAGCTATTTAAAGATAACCCTGAAATATTCAAGAACTTGTTCAAACAACTTGTGAGCTATGTGGGAACATGCAGTTTTTCATGGCAACGTGTATTTATTTATTTGTTTCTAAGTTTTTATTTATTTAAGTAATTATCTACACCTAACGTGGGGCTCGAACTCAGGACCCCAAGATCAAGAGTCACATGTTCTTCTGACTGAGCCACCCAGGCACCCCTGGTTATTTTTTCTTAATACATGATTCACAGAACAAATCTCACATGATAACATACCTAAGCAGATTTAAGTAAAGATATTACCTAGGTCATACAGATAAATAAATAATTAGGATAAATCCTTGTCTCTTAATGATGGTTTTGGTTATGGTTCTCATTAGAGGCCTATGGACTCTAAGCTACTTCTAATATTGTAAGATGCCCTTGAGTTTACTGTAAATGACTCCTCCAGATTTTAGTAAGATAATTATAAGGTATCTTGAAATTAGTGTTTATCAACTCAACCAATCCAAAAGGAAAATTCCTACAAAAGGGTCGATAACAGGTTTTTATGCTGTAAAGTTCAAATGGCTTAATAATTGAAAGTTTCTCATTAAGAAATGAATTCTTTAAAATTAGAGTATAAAATAGGACAGTTGTTTTAGAAATTTCAAGGAATGTAGTGAGGGAGTTATTTTTAATGTTAAAAATATTGCTGGACTTAGAGTTACTGCCAGGAAGAAAAGTAATTTCAGGCCACAAGCTTCAAAACAGGCAGAAACCTCCAGTGTATCAAACACACTTTCTGGAGTAGGCCCAGAAACACTGGTCTGGGAACAGTTGTCTTTGTATTTGTGGGGTCTGAACTGGCAGTTAAACAGAACAAATAATAACGGAGTTTTAAAAGCCTCGTGGGATTTATAGTTGATCCACGTTAGAGGAGGAATATTTTACCTTTTTCGGTTGCTTACCCATAAAGTATGGGAAATAATTCATAAAAGCAGTGATGCCCATGTTTTCTGCATGTTTACTAGTGTATTCTGAATTGCTCTTTTCCTTTCTGGGATATTAGTTGGGTTGGGAGATGAAAAAAAATATGTGGCTAAAGTTTTATTCTCCTTTTTGCCTACCTTTTGCTACATACACAAATGTCTGATTTATTCAACTTTGCATCCTTGGATGTTTCTCTGTAAAAAGTTGGGCAAATGTCCATTTGTTCAAGTACTTCTGTATCATATGTGTCCACTTAGCATCTGGTAAGAGTTTCTCATCAAAAATTATCCTCAGGAAAGGATTTGTATTGTAATCAATTCTTACAGTTTTTCAGAATATGGAGCAGGCTCTATTTTTGAAAAATACAGTATTTATTAGAGAAGCTACATTAAACTTAACCTCAAGCTATTAGTTTCTTATTTTATAGAGAGGATTGAAAAGTTAGGAAAAAAAAAAGAACACAGATTTAATGGTTATTCATGAGGTATGTAAGATGCCATTATAAATTAGCTTTTAAAAATCACTTAAAGCAATACTGTGTTTATGTTATGAAGATCACAGATACTTATAGGAAAAATGAATTAAACTAGCTAACGTGTGAGAAGTGAATAGGTACTCTGGGCTTGGGATGAAATTTCCAGTGATGGCATCATACAGTTTCAAGAATGACACCCTAGACAGTCTGGATAGCTAGTTTAGTGTAAGTCCTCCAGCTTGTTTTTCAAGATTGCCTTGGCTGTTGTAGGTCCTTCAAATATCCATGTAAATTTTAGAATCGGCTTGTCAGTTTCCACCAATAAATAAGTAAATAAATAAAATCTCCTGATAGTTTGACTCTGCATTGAATCTGTACATCAGTTTAGGGAGAATTGACAATTTGATATTATCATATCTCCTAATTTATGACCAGCTTCATTTAAGTCTTAATAAATGTTTTAAGTGTTTTAATAGTTTTCGGTGATGAGCTTTTGCATATTTTTTCTTTAGATATATTCCTAGTTATTTGATCTTTGTGTATGTATATTATTGCAAATGGTATTTCTAATATTTTATTTTATGATTTTGTTGTTGTTGCTACTGTATGGGAATACTGTATTCACCCATATCCAGAAAATTGACTTGTTAATTCTAACTGTAGATTCTTCTGGATTTTCTTCGTACACCGTCAGTCATCACAAATGCAAATAATGTCAATTTCTATTCTTCCTTTGTAGTCATTATACCTTTTATTTCATGTCTTCCCTAATGCACTAGATGGGACCTCCAAGAAGATGTTGAATAGAAATAATGATGATAACCAAAGTAGGCAGAAAACAAAACCTGTGAAGAAATTACCAGCCTATATAGCCTTTGTTTTGTGCCCTTGGGCCACCACTCCTCACCTAATTGACTATGATAAAATCTCATTTGTACAGGAGTCTCAGTAGCCGGCTAGCTTGCCTCGGATTCAGTTCATATCCCTTCACAACATTCCCCAATAAACACTATGCCTTGCCTGTTTGATTCTGTTAACAGATACATATTTATAAACTTGGCTATCTGTTTCCCAGTCCCTAGGAAAATAGAAGCTGTAAGTCAGAAAAAAAGCCGAGTGGTTGGGTGGTTTGAGTCATAAGCCATTGGATTTGATGTCAGTGAAAACATGCCTGTCCTTTCATGATAGATTCCCTGGGGACCCTGCTGACCATAAAATGCTGGCTAGACCACACATCTAACTGTGGCAATTTCTGTAGTTCGGTCTGGATCTCAGTTTGACTGGGTTGCATTTTGACATGTATTGTTTCTCTGATACATTTACCTTGTGTATGGCAGTAAAATCAACCAAATATTAAGTGGAAGGAGGTAGATAGAGTATCCTTAATTTTTTTGGTATGTCCCTTCCAGACAACTTTATAGTTAAAATGCATCAAGATAAAATATTTGAATTTTATAAAAGCACCAGTTCTCCTCATTCATTAACTTTAATTCTTCCAGTGCACCACACTGCTGACTGGGGGAGGAAAGGTATCCTGCCACAGCCACTAAGTCAGCTTAGTACTGCTACTGCCAGGGGGTCAGATGCCATGGGAAGAACCATGTGCTAAGGGGTTTGGATGCCTGGTCCTTGCTTGTGCTTTTGTCCGTTTACCTCCCGCTCATTTCTGAGGCTAGCTCTTCTCTTAGCCTTTCTTGGATCCGTTTCCAGGAGGAGTCCTCTTCTGTCAGGCCACCTTCAAGGT